CTCTAATGCCCCACCACCCCGTCTACTGCGTTGCACGCAGGCAGCGGTAGCAGCAGCAGCAGTGGCAGCGTTGGCAGAAGCAGAGGCAGCCAGCCGGGCCCTCTCAGTGACCTTGCGGACGAACTCCGTAGAGTCGAAAGAGGAGGTGGAGGAGGAGCTGACAGCATCATCGTCATCATTGCCTGCAACAGGCTGCGAGAGGGGATAGGGGTGGGAATGGGGGGGGAGGTTGGATGGGGAGTGGGTGGAGGGGGCTGCAAGCCTGGCTCTCCCAGTGACCTTGCAGACAAACTCTGTAGAGTCAAAGGAGGAGGTGAAGTGCTGGAGGCATCATCATCATCACCATCGATATCGCCGGCAATGGGCTGGAGTAGAGGGTTGGAGGGGAGGGGAGGGAAGCGGGGTTGGATGGGGAGTGGGTAAGTGGAGGAAGATTAACAGTTTGGCTCTCTCTGTGACCTTGCAGACGAACTCTGTAGAGTCAAAGGAGGAGGTGGAGTGGCTGGTGCTGCTATCAGCATTGTCGCCTGCAATCGGCTGGAGTAGAGGACTGGGGGCTGGGGGGGGCTGGGGGGGGCTTGAACTGGGCCGGACTGGACTGGACCGGACTGGACTGGACTGGACATACCTCATTGCTGACGGCAGGCGGGGTAGCATTGGAACTCCCACCATCGCCGTGCACTCTCCTCCTCCTCCTCCCACGCCCGGGTACAAATCCCCGCCCCCTTCTCCCTCCCCCTCCTCTTCCCCTCCTCCTCCTGCTCCTCACTGCCCCCGTCTTCATCATCCCACACCTCCTCGTACCCTCGCCCTCCACTCCCACTCCCATTCTTCCTACTGGAATTGACCACAGCATGACCCATGGGGCCAGGGCGCCCATGGAGGTGAGTGAAGTCGCTGAGGTCGGTCAGATCTCCTTCTGCTGCCAGCGCGCTGCGAAGCATGTTGCTGCCTGCGTCGTCGCCGCTGCCGCTGCTTGCGTTGTTTTGGCTGCCCGACGAGAGAGGACGGCTGCCCAAGCCTGTGGCGTTGCGGCTGATGGTCTCACTGGTATTCTTGCTGTTGCCGTGACTGTTACTGCGGCTGTGGCTGTGGCTGTGGCCGGAATTAGGGGCGCAGTTGCCGCCAGGGTAGAGGTCTGAACTGGTGGAGAGGGGGTTGCTGGACTCCCCGTCCTGATGGGGCGGAGTGTGGGGAGTAGTAGGGACGGGGCGCAGGGAGACAAAGCGGTGGGGAGAGGGGGCGGGAGAGGGGCGGGAGAGGGCGGGAGAGGCAGGTGAATTCTCAGTCGAGTGACGACTCACAATGGTGGATTGAGGGCTGCTAGCATCCTACTAGTCCGGCTGGTATGGTAAGGGGCATGGGGAAAGAGAGTGGAAAGAGGGAGAGCGGGAGAGTGGGAGAGGGGGAGAGGGGGAGGAAGAGAGAGGTGATTTTGAGTCGGCTAAAACGATGTAGACCTGGACGAGTGACGGTTGCTGCCCACCTCGTCCTGATGGGAGGGGGTGTGGGGTAGACGGGGGGGGGGAGGAAGAGTAGGAGACAGGGGAGTGTGAAAGAGGAGTACTTTGAAAAAGGAGTTTTTTTGGTGGAAGATGGGAGGGAGGGGGGAGAAAGAGGAAGCAGGATGGCATGCACCCACAGCATGGCACCGCACAGCATGGCACCGCACAGCATGGCACCGCACAGCACGGCACATACCTTGCAGAACTGAGCTTGGGCCGCTGCCTGTTTCGCGAGGGCCTCTTGCCTCAGCTGCTGCAGCTCCCCCAGCAGCATGTCCATGTCCAGCCCACTGCCGCTGCTGCTGCCACCGCTCATGCTCCCCTCTCCCGCTTCCCCTCCTCCCCGCCTCCCACTCCGCCCTGTCCTCCCACTGCTCCCCCTCCTCCACCTTCCTCCCCCCTCTTTGGCCTTGCAACAATGTCACCACTGCCAAGCAGGCCTCGGCCCCTCCTCTCTCCTCCGCTTGTTTCCGGCCTCCTCACTCCCACCTCTCCCTTTCCCCCTGCTGCCCCATCCCCCTGAATCCAATCCCGCACCAGCCCCCCCCTCCCCGCCCCACCTCCAGCAGGCCCGGCCGAGCCTCCTCGCCGAGCCTGCCGTTGCTGGAGGGCATCTTGGGCAGCCTGTGCCGAGCCTCGGTGCCGCTGATTCGTTCGAACGCCGAACCTGGCAGGCCCAGCAGGCTCGTACTCAGGCCCGGGGAGGAAGAGGAGAGAGCACGGCGCAAGGGAGCCGCCCTCCCATGCTGCCCACGTCATCCACATAAGCATCCGCATCAGCACCATCATCCGTCCCTCTCCCATAACCTCCTCCTCTCCCTCCCCCCTCTCCTCCTCCCACTCCCCCTCCTCCGCCCCCTCCTCCAATCCACCCGCCAATCCCCTCCCCACTCCCCTTCCTTCGCAGCATGCCCTTACGGAAGCTTCCTCCACCTTTCCCTCCCGCTGCTGAACCTTCCGGTGGCAAGGGGGGGTCCTGCTACCTCCCCCTCCTCCCCCTCCCCTTTTTCCTGCTGCCCCTTTCCCTGCCCCTGCCATTCCTCCCCCTCCTCGCACATTCTCCGGAAACGAGTCTTCATCACTCAAGCTCAACCTGCCCGGGTCCCAGCTACCTGCCCGGAAATGTTTTGGCACAGTGCGGCGGGGAGCCTGAGCCAGCCTGGCAGCTCCACCTGCCCCAGAATTACCTGCTCCTGCCATTCCCCCTGCTGCCCCCTCTCCTCCCTGTTCTCCCGCCCTGTTTGAAAACATTTCCCACTGCCCTGCCAGTGCCACTACCTGCTCGGCTATATTGGGACGAGATGAGGAGGAGAAGGAAGGGTGGTGAGCCACAGCAGGAGCAGCAGAAGCAGGAGACGGTAGGCCTGGGGGTATGAGGCTTCTGGGGGACTTGGAATCACCACCAGCACCAAAAGCACTGTTCCCTTGCCTAGGAATACCGCCCTCACGACCAGCCGCTTCCCCAGGCGACAGTCTAAACCTCCCACCTCCACCCCCACCTCCTCCCCCCATGACATCCGGGCCAGCCCACGACATGTGCCTGCTGTGCCTGCCCCTTCCCCCCTGACGAGCCTCCATCCCCTGGCTCGGACCAAAACCGCCCGGCAGGTTCGGGCCGAGCCTAGACGACCCGAGCTGCCGAGCCTCTTTCTCCGTCTCTCCCCTGGGCGTCCCCGGCCTCGGCTCACTACTATCGCTATCACCATCATTATAAGCATCTTCCGTTATAAGAACACCGGACCCGGAGGAGGGGTGCGGGGGGATTATGAGACTTGAGAAGTGGAAGGGGAGGGAGGAGGGAGGGGGAGGAGGGGCAGCAAGCCCTGAAACAGCGGCGGCAGCAGCGGTGAGCTGAAACCCTCCAGTGCCGGTTACCGCTGCTCCTGCTCCTGCCACTGCTGCTGCCTGCTGCCTGCGCTCCCTGCTGAGTGTGCGAGAGATAGATCGTCTGGGTGCGGACAAGGAGGAGGAAGAGCAGAGGGTAGGCGAGGCGGGAGGAGGGCCGCCCATGCCATGGCTTCCACCGCTGCCAGCAGCAGCACTCCAAGTTCCGCCTGCTGCTGCCGCTCCTTCCAGCTCGCCTCCCGCCCCCGAGGATCTTCGGCAAGGGGTGGTTCGGGAGCGCATGACAAGCCCGGGAGAGGGCAACTCCCCATCCTCCCCATGCTCCCCTTCATACTCCGCTTCCTCCATTTCCGAGCCTCGTCCCGAGCCTCGGGGAGGTCTGGGAGGAGGTTTGGAGCCTCTGGTGTGGTTCGGGTCGTCGGAGTCTTCGGCTGGTCCGGACGCCGAGCCTGCGACCGAAGCTACACGCCTTCCTGGACCTAGGAGGTTGAGGTGGTAGGGAAGTCGGCGGTGGTCCGAGCCTCCGCTGCTGGTTCGGACAGGGCAGGGTTGGTCGGGTAGGGTTTCATCTTCTGATTCGGAAAAGCTGCTGCTGTGCTTGCGTGACATGCGCCGAAAAACACGACCCATACTACCGCCACCACCACCACCGTACCCGCTGCCACCACCGCTACCAGCACCAGCAGCACCACCCCCGCCGCTGCTGCTGTTCCCAGGGCTGCCCGTGCTGCTGCTGCCGCTGAGGGGAAACATACCTCCGATGCTCCTGCTCCTCATGTGCCGAGTGACACCCATCGCACCACCACTCCCCCCCCTCCCCCCCTCCCCCTGCTCTTCCCCCACTTCTTTCTGCACTGCCGCTGCCCCCGCCGCCACCAATGCTGCTGCTGCTGTGCATGGTGGGTCGCATCCTGCGGTTCCTGAGCTCGTTGCCCACGCTGATGCTGCGCTTCAGCTCCATCTCCGACTCGTCCTCCTCCTCCTCTGGCGAATGTGCTTCCAACAGCTGCTGCTGCTTCTGCTGCTGCTGCTGCTGCTGCCGTTTGTCAAGGTATTCATCCGATCTTCGACGCCCACCAGCAGCAGCAACTCCCGCACCACTTCCACCACCACTGCCAAAGCTAGCACTGCCGTGGCTGCTGGAGTGGCCTGTACCCGCTATAAGCTCCTTGACTCGCCTGCCGGCCTGTGTGAGCACGAGGTGGCAGCCCTCTGGCAGATGCGCCTCGCAGAAATGAACCACGGACGAGTCTCCTCCCCACAGAAGCTTCCTGGAAGGAGAGGAAGAGGGGGAGAGATCGTGCAGAAGAGAGGAAGGGGGGGGGGGTGGGGGAAGAGGGGGGCAGGAGAGGGCGGGTGGGGGGGAGGAGAGGGGTAGGGGGGGAGGGGATTGAGAGGAGAGAGAACGAGAGACAAGACGAGACAAAGGTGTCATGTAGCAAGACAATAGGGCAAGAGCAAGAGTAGGCGAAGGGGCAGTATTCAGTATGCAGAGGCAAGGGCGGGCAGGCACGTTGCCTGGAGCAAAGGCGCGTCACCGTCTACCATTCTAAGACGGCTGTCTGTTTCACAAGATGATGGGCAAGCTCAAGTTGACTACCGCCTTCTTCCCTCACCTCTTCTTTTCAAGCTGCCCCTCCTCTCATATTTTGACGTTAAGCTGCCCCTCCTTTCATCTTTTGACGTTAAGCTGCCCCTCCTTTCATTCCTTGACGTTAAGCTGCCCCTCCTCCCACCTCTAAACGTTAAGCTGCCCCCTCTCTCACCTCTTGACCCCAATGTACAGCCTCTGCACCTGCAGACACGCCACTGGGATCGGCGCCTGCACACAGACCCGTTGTAAGGTGTGTGATACCCACCCTCTTTCACCTCTTGGCCACCCTCCCTCACCGCTTGACCGCCCTCTTTCACCTCTTGGCCACGCTCCCTCACCGCTTGACCGCCCTCTTTCACCTCTTGACCACCCTCTCTCACCTCTTGACCACCCTCTCTCACCTCTTGACCACCCTCTCTCACCTTTTGACCACCCTCTCTCACCTCTTGACGCCGATATAAAGCCGCTGTGCCTGCAAGCACGCCACTGCCGCGCAGAGACCCGCCTCCCGCGACTCACTGTGCTCCATGTGCGCCTCCGCTGCCACCTGGGGGGGAAGGGGAGGGAAGTGGGGAAGGGAGTGATGGGGGGAGAGAGGATGAGGGAAGGGGGGGAGAGAGGATGAGGGAAGGGGGGGGAGAGAGGATGAGGGAAGGGGGGGGAGAGAGGATGAGGGAAGGGGGGGGAGAGAGGATGAGGGAAGGGGGGGAAGGAGGGGGAGGGAGTGATGGGGGGGGAGAGGAGGCGGGAAGGGGTGGGTGGCGGAGCGCAGTGCAGGGAGGCAAGGCAATGATGAGACGCCTCAAGCAGCCTCGCCCCGCCACTCAAAAGATGAGACGTCTCAAGCAGCCTTTGAGTCGACTCAAAAGATGAGACGCCTCAAGCAGCCTCGTCCCGCCACTCACTGTGCTGCAGGTGAGCCTCTGGTGCTTCCTGGGAAGGGGGTGGCGCGGGGGGGCGGAGAGGGATGGGAGGGAAAGAAGGCCAGCAGGGCTGAGGAAGGGAGGGAGGGGCGTGTAGCAGGGCCGTGCACAGACCGCCTCCGCCTCCCGCGACTCACTGTGCTCCACGCTAGGTTTAAAAAAACGGCGTTTTTTTCAGATTTAGACCGTTTGCTACGGTACCGTATTTTTCAGTCGTCTTAAACGGTTTAAAACGGTTCTGAAAGTTAGCTTTTTTTGTTGTTGAAAAAAACGGTCGTTTTATATGGTCGAATTTTTAAAACCGTGGGTGTACAGCAGCACTTCGAATTTGATACCGAATTCGGACGGTTGGGTGTACACCCAACCGTCCGCGAATGTTCAGGAGGGGTTGGGGGGGGGTCGGCGGAGGAGGAGGAGGACGACGAGGAGGAAGAGAAGGAAGAGGAGGAGGAGGCCGAGGAGGAGGACAAGGAGGATTCGGGGGAGGAGGAGGAGGAGGAGGAGGAGGAGGAGGAGGAGGAGGAGGAGGAGGAGGAGGAGGAGGAGGAGGAGGAGGAGGAGGAGGAGGAGGAGGAGGAGGAGGACGACGAGGAGGACGAGGAGGACGAGGAGGACGAGGAGGACGAGGAGGACGAGGAGGACGAGGACGAGGAGGAGGAGGAGGACGAGGAAGAGGAGGAGGACGATGTGTAGGAGGAGGAGGAGGAGGGGTAGGAGGAGGGGTAGGTGGATGAGGAGGAGGATGGGTAGGAGGTAGTGTAGGGGGGAAATAAGTAGTAGGAGGAATATGCGGCAGATTCGAGCTTTGGCGGGCCTATTTAGTTCAGTTAGGACCCCTACTATGCATGCCATAGCCACCAATAGTCGTCTATTTTGTCCCCTTCTGTCCCTGGTTTTTTTTTTTTTTTTTTTTTTTTTTTGAATTTTGGAAAAAAAAACTTTATTAAAAAAACGGCGTTTTTGTATAAAAAAAACCGTTTCAAACGACCGAAAAAAACGAACGAAAAAAACGGCCTGCCGTTTTTTTCAACCTTGGCTCCACGTGCGCCTCTGCTGCTACCTTGGGGAAGTACGACCTGGAGGGGGAGGTCGGTGGGGTGGGAAAGGGGGGAGGGGGGAAGGGGGGGGGGGGGAGGGGAAGGGGGGGGTGGGGAGGGGATAAAAAGGCAATGAGTGACTTGAGCAGCGCTGAATGACGTCACCATTAGCTTCGCCAGCTGACCCGCAGCGCCGCTCTATGTGCGCCTTTACACGCACAATCATGCAGGGCCGTTGGGGTTACTTAATATCACCGTTTGAAGAAGGAAGTTTCGTTTGAAAGAAAGGATGGCTGCGATTGCGTTCGGATCAGATCTCTTGTGACGCGTGATCTACTACGGTTGTACCCCCTAAAAGCCCCATCCCCCCCTCCCCCGTTCCCCCCCTTTCTCCCAGTTCGCCTGTCTCGCGCGCTCGCCTTCCTGCTCTCTGCAATGGCCTGCATCGGCCACATCACGCTGCACAGAATCAAGTCTTCTCTGACGCATGAATAATACTACTACCATCAACCCCAACCCACGCCATCCAAACCCCCCTCACAACCCAACCCCCCCTCCTCCTTCCCCCCTCAGCCCCAAGTCACCTGTCTCCCGCGCTAACCTTTCTGCTCACCGAAATTGCCTGCATCGGCCGCATAACTCCACAGAAGCAGAATTCCATGACGCAAGACAGGAGCCTCGCTTTGAGGCGCCTCAAAACTATTCTATAAACGCCCCCCTCCCTACGCACCCCCTCCCCCCCTTCTCGCATCCTTCCCCCCCCCTTCTCCCCCTTCTCCCCCTCCCCCTTCCGCCTTCCCGATTCGCCCGACTCCCGCGCTCACCTTTCTGCTCTCCGCAATAACCTGTAGGTGACTTTTGAGTCGACTCAAAAATAACCTGCATCGGCAGAAATACGCTGCGCAGAATCGAGCCCTATCCCCCGATTACTGCTGCTATCACTCCCTTCCGCGTGTCACAACCACACCGCGCTCACCTTTCTGCTCTCTGCGATGGCCTGCATGGGCCGCATGCCGCTGCGCAGACTCAGGTCCTCCGTCGCGCACGCTACTACTACAGCAGCTATCAGCACACTTCCCCCGACCCCCGGCCCTAACTCGTCTCGCTCGCGCGCTCACCTTTCTGCTCTCTGCGATGGCCTGCATCGGCCGCATCACGCTGCGCAGAATCAAATCTTCCGTCGCGCCGTGCCGCGATCGCTCCTTGCGCGCCGATGCCGCTGCCGAGGGGAATTGGAGGGGACGGTCAGCAGGGACGGCGGACGGGGACGGGATGGCGGAAGGAAGCGAGGAGAAGCGAGGGGTGTGGGAGGCAGGAAACAATGAGTCGACCCCACAGAGAACCGGTACCGATAGTAGCAAGCCGATGCGGAAATAAGAGTCAAGAATGGGATGGGGAGGCGTAGGTTGCAAGACAAACCCTAGGCTTCACAGAAAGCTGGAGTTGCGGAGCACAGCAACGGTTCCATTCTGAAAGAAGGACGGAGACTCACGCAGAGAAGGCTGAAACCATGGCGTAAGAAGGAGAGACATTCTAAAAGAGAAATTCTAAAAGAGAAATTCTAATAGTGCGGAATGGCCCGCTCACGTTTGGATCCGTCTGTATCGATAACGACGGAAACGAGCACGATGACAGGCGTCTCGCCGTCATTGGCTCGCTGGAATCTGTCCACGTCAGCCAGGGCGACGCTGAGCGTGCTGCGACTGCTCTCGTGGTCCGGCGACACCTCCAGCAGCCACAGCGGCGTCGCACAGTCGTCGTCCGTGCGACGCTGATCGCCAGCCCGGGGTACCATGTCGACGTTGGGTCGATCGCGGCTTAACGCCGCTAACATCGGGAACGAGACGGCAACGCGGGAGCAAAACGGCAATTCTTGGAGTCAGAGGAAGCCTTGCACGTGCGAAGCAGGAAGTGTGGTCGGCGAGGATAATTTCTACATGCGGGGAAGCAAGGAAAGAAACGAATTCAGTGAGACTAGGACAACCTTTGAAGAGCAACTGCTGGTCGCATATACAACTGCTAGTTGCAGTCACGTCGCGTGAAGGCACTCCATGTCGATAATGCGAGCAAGCGAAACCCAGACGTGCCTACAGGCTTCGTTTGTTCGCCATGAATAATAATTATGAGCGGAGGAGCGACCTACGCAGGAGTCAGCAACAACTAGCTTACAGCTGTAGGAGACGAGCGGCCATCGACCAAACAAAATCAACAGCGATTGGTGAATTGCATCTCTCCACCGTAGATTTCCTCGGAATTGCCGTGCTTGGGGATTTTGGTTCGGTCCTGGCGGGTGTACGGTACAGTAACCAAACAGGGTGTGTAGTTCTTGAGAGTACTCGTGCGATTGTGAAAGTTGTACCTTTTTTTCCATTTTCCCATTTTATGTAGCTGTTGGGCCCGGAGGATTTGGGGAGTTAAATTGGTGGTGTGCACTGTAACAAACCAATGTTGGTGGGTGAAAATGTTCCGGGCAGCACGTCGGGCCCCTCGAATAAAATGTTGGTGGCCAATGGACTTCCGTTGGCAGCCAACAAAAAACGACACGAGCCCAACTTCCATCGAAGCTGCGGTGCGAAGCGAAGCAAGCGAGAGCCCCGCCCCTGGCTCTTTGCTGCACAGACAGGTGAGCGAAGCGCGACCTGTGGCACCCTGCCCCGAGTGCTGCCTTGGCCCTGGATCTCTTCGCCTTCCTCCTCCACTCATTCACTGCCCCGCAGATCTCATTTGCTTCGCAGCGAGCCCTCCTTACAAGAAGGCAGTGTACCAATAACGGCCTTATATTACATTCCTTGAATTATCCACAACACCCTCAACATGCAATAAGGACATCCATAACTTGGTGGATCTTTCAAACCAAGCAACACACCCTGACTTTGTTCAGCTATTCCCCTATAAGCCTCACCCTATAACCAAGAATAGACGTACACACCTGACACTCAGCTACAGCATTTGCTGTCCCATCTCTTACAAAATGAGAAGTACAAGGAGATACAGGGGGTCATACATGTCATATTCCCGTAGTGTAAACTCCAAGAATTTTGGAAGGAGGTTTCAAACATATTTTGTCAATGTATTATACGCTAGATATGTGTGTACTCTTAGACAGTACAACCCCTTGGACACAACCAACATGTTTGCATCATTCGAGTCATTCATTCTCATTCGAATATGGTATCAGGTTAGGTCAGGTTTAACACATATATATAGGTCTATACACAATCAAGGCCCTAGCAAGTGAGAGGCAACAGGAACAAGACCTAGCTGCACACAGTGCCGCTGATGATCTTTAGGCGCAAGCGCCTTCGTAAAGATATCAGCTGTGTTGGCACCGGAGGTCAAGCGTACTACGCGAGCCTGGCGAAGCTGCTGCAGCTCGTGCTGGAGGAAGTACCACAACTGGATGTGATTCGCTCTGCCCTCAAATCGAGGCTCTTGACACAGAAGGATCATGACCCTGTTGTCAGCATACAGGACTGGGGCAGAGCTAGGTCGCTCACCTAAGTCGGTGAGCAAGAAGGTCAGCCAACGAAGCTCCTGTGCCGCCATGGCACCAGCGTAGACCTCGGCCTCACAACTGGACTGGGCAACAGACGAGGCGCGAGTAGCTCGCCACGAGACAGCACCTGAACCAAGGCTAAAGCAGTAGCCATGCGAGGACCTAAGGGTTTCGGCGTCGTCTGCCCATGAAGCGTCTGTGTGCCCAGCAAGGACCACTGGCCTGCGCCCTCCTAGCACTAACCCCACGCCTGATATACTTGCAAGATAGCGCAAAACCCTCTTAGCAGCAGACCAGTGCTGAGGTCGGTGTCTGCCTGTGGCCACAAAGCTAGCCAAGATGCTGAGAGGGTATGCAAAATCTGGGCGAGTGCAAGTCATCAGGTACATGAGGCAACCCACCAGCTTTGCGTAAGGACCACTGGGCTCTACCGACTCCTTAGGAACTGGAGCGGAGAGCCCGTGGTCTACTGGCAGAGGGGTGGGCTGTGCAGAGGAGAACTGAAGGCCGAACCTCTGAAGGACCTAGCGCACCAAGTGTGACTGAGTCAAAGTGATGGTGCGGGCTGCTCTGTCCCTGGAGATCTGCAAGCCAAGGTAGTGGCGCAGTTCTCCTAGGTCAGTGCACGTGTGTTTCTTCAGTAGCTCTGCCTTCACCGAGGCCAGTGCGTCCCTGTCGGCAGTGGCGAAGACCAGATCGTCTACGTAAACAAGGATGTAGAACGGAGTCTGGCCAGCACGAACGAAGAGGAAGGGGTCTGCAGAGGACGGAAAGAACTGCAGGTCAGCAAGGGTAGCACGGGGAGCCTGCCGTAGGCCGTAGACGGGGCGCTGCAGGAGCCACTGAGTCCCAGGAGGAAAGGTACCACTGAAAGACTCACGGGGAGCCTGCCGTAGGCCGTAGACGGGGCGCTGCAGGAGCCACTAAGTCCCAGGAGGAAAGGTACCACTGAAACACTAAGGGTGGCGCAGGTAGACCTGCTCGTGTAGGCTGCCCTGAAGAAACACAGTGGAGAAGTCGAGGGAGTGCAGCTCGTAGTCACGCTGAGCTGCTACGTGTAGTAGCACCCGAAGAGTAGTCATCTTCGGGGTCGGAGCGAAAGTCTGAAAGAAGTCCACCCCTTGACGCTGACTAAAGCCTCTAGCCACGTAGCGCGCCTTGAACACAGGCGGCTCTCCAGGGGGGCGCATCACCTTGAAGAGCCACCGACTATCGACTACGTTCACCCCAGGTGGGGGAACTGCG